TTGACTATTCTCATTGCACATTCTGATTGTACTTTTAATTATTGTTTGCACATTGTGATTAAATTTTTAAATACTGATGTTAGTTCTAAATTTGAATGGTTTTTATTTTTCAGAATCATGTGTGTATTTCATAAAAGTATTTTACAAACATTTACGATTTTAAAAAAAAAATTAGAAAGAGGATAATTTTTTCGGACCCGAAAGCCCGGTGGGCAGCCTGGCCCGCTCTTTTGGGCGGGCTTGGACATATGAGGAGGCCCGTTGTGCCGGGCCGGGCCCGCCCACTACAAATGAGCAGATTTTTTAGAATAAGCCCGGCCCAAGCCCGGCCCGAACCCGCGTTTGTGCAGGTCTAAAGGAAAGCGTCGTATTATGCTTTTACTTCATTCCCACACCGAAATAAGAGGCGGATCCCCCTTCCAATATCTGTATAAATATATAGGTACCGGTAGTAGTCCTCAAGACATTCGGGTCCTTGTGTAGATTTGCACCGTTGGGCCTATCGAATGGAGTAAAACTATTTGTAATAAGGGTCTGACAAGTTTTGATGCCTTTTTTCACGCATATGCGCCATCCGGGGCGTTGGATTGGCGCATCACACGTTTTGGAACACTAATGATAGTAACTGGGGAGAGTAAATGGGGTGTTTAAATTATGTGGGGAAAGGAGGGTAAATGGGAAGGGTATGTTAGGCTTTTCATTTGACCTTTCATTCTATTTAAGGAAATGGGAACTTGTTTCTGGGACAGTAAAAAAAGGAAAGTCGGGACATCGATCTTTACGGGATGGAGGAAGTACTAAATATTAAGATAAATCTTGATATATTTTTGTGGAGGTCGCACTAAATATATATATTTTTGTCTGAGACCCCACTAACAAATATTACCTCCGTCTCGTTGGAATGTTCTCGTTCATTGGTCAACTTAGGTCACTTCTAATCTTTTATTTTATATATCAAATTTTTATCAAATTGAACTTTTCTTGATCAGACTTTGTAGCGATTTTAATGTAGTTTCTGAATATGTAAATTTTATTTACTAAAAATAAGCAGAGTGTGAACAGGGATTGAGTTGCTTTATTGTCAATCAAGCATCGTAAATCGAACGGGAACATTCCAACGGGACGGAGGTAGTATTTTTCAATTGTCATACGGAAGCACGAGGCGACCACCTCAGAATTGGAATCGGTAGAATCTGGACTCTTTAGATCACCTACTGGAACCAGCAAAGAATTGGAAAAATTCTTAAGATGCGACTGCTCAAGAGGATTAGCTCAAAATTGGAATTGGAAAAATTGGAATTTATAGGATCACAGATTGGGAGCTTTGAAACCAGTGCAGAATCGGTCACTTTTGTGTCAAAGGAGCTTGGAAATCAACAAATTCAGCATTGGCGGCAACAAGTCTAATCGTGGAGATAGAACTTAATTACCAGCGGCATCAGGATTCTGCTGAAGTCTCACTAGGTCCTTCTAAGGACATTAGCAGGGGCTGTTCTTCACCACTGGGACAACCTAACCAAGAGTTGAAAGCAAAACTTTTTGCTTTAATCGAACACATTCTTTCCTTCAAATTAGTCAACTCAAAAATCGCCACAATTGCTCGATTTCTTTTGATGAGGAAGGAGTTATATGGGTGATGCTTTTTCACGTATACAAACCGAGCATTCTTGGTCAGTCACTTGGTGTCTTGGTATGAATTTTTTTGAAATTTGCTTTTATCTTTTGAAGAAAATGCATTTCGAGGTTTCATTCGTTTAATGGCACTTGATAATAGGGGAGTTTCAACTATTTTTATTTCAGAGGGTAAGAAGGGTATTTAATTTGCTCGATATATTCTGAAAGAGGGGAAAAGGAGCACTACAGGAGGTTAAAGAAGAATTTGGGATTTTTTGTGCTGACTCTCGAATTGAGGATTTCACTTTTGATAACGTTCCAGGAAGACTTGTTCAAAGTTGGTTGTTTTTCTATTCCTGAATGCGACGGGATCAGTGGTGTTTTACACAAGCTAAGCAGAATGAGGCCGGATTCACAGGAGGGCTCAGCAAGTTGTGCTGAAATTGACGGTGAAAAGAAGAATCGCCTCTTCAGACTCTAGTGTAATTGAAAAGGAGATCATTGAAGCATCACATATTCAGATCCCTTTTCCTGGGGAACATACTGAGTCTATCCAGTCGGGCTCTGGTGTGGAGGGTGATGTATTTGAATGCATGATGCTTACAGATCGAGAGTTGATAGATCGCCTACTTGAACCGAAAATTCCTTTTACTGGATTTCAGGTATTTCCTAGGAGAAGTGCTCGCATTCAAGCAAAAAGTGATCAGCAATAGAATCTTTTTGTTCGGGTCATTTTCAGGGAATTCTCTATATTGAATTTGAATGCTATGGGACATTTTGGATACCAAGCTTGTTTGAATTTTTCTATCACATTTGCCGAGAAAAGTGATGCTGACGTTTTTTTCTCTCTCACTAGTTTAGTTGCTCTTCAAATTTTCTTCCCTCATTAGCGACTGTACCGTCTGTACTCTCTCTTTATTTAATAAAATTTATTTACCTTGCAAATAAAAAGTGTAGTTATTAGTTTTGTAAAATAGCAAGCTACAGATAAAATATAATGGATAGGCATCGAGCATTTTTCGTTTAGATAAAGATCGATGGTTGAACATCAGTTCATTTGGATACAAATATTTGGATACAATCGAGAGTTATAAATAAATTGACTCTTTTAGATAGAAAATATAAATTGAGAACGTGTTTAGATATTTAGTTAAAAATAAGACATTTTCAATAAATAAGAATATGCACTATCAACTTATGTTATTATCATATAAATAATTGACTTTCTGTTAGTTATAATTACTCTTACATATCTCATGCTCACGAGCGCACATATATATTGTATAACTAAAACAAAATCGTTTCATTCAGTTCATGACACGAGTAAAGATACTAGTTACATTTCAAAACATTTTAAAGAGAACATAATATGTCTATGTAAATATCTACATTGACACATAGAACGAATTAGAGGGATAGATCATATTATGCAATATAAACCCTCACTCTCAAGAGGCATATCGTTGACAAAATCAATATTCAAATTTTGAGGAGATTTGCTTTTTTGGTTTCGTAATTTTGTATTTTATCCGCTTTTAGTCTTGTTATGTTGATCACTTGAAGAAGTATTCTCGTCAACAACTACATCTAAGCTTTATTCTCAAAAGATTTTAGGGTTAAGTATTACTCCCTCTGTCCCATTTTAGTTAGGCAAACACTGTTTTTCAAGTCAATGGTGTCTAAATTTGACCGATTATATATTTATATACATAAGTGTTGATGACATGAAAATGATATAAATGTTTTTTGTAAAAAAAACTACTATAAAAGTATAAAATTATTAAATTTTGCATAAGTATATTACTTAAAATAATTGGTCAAAGTTAGTTATCTTTGATTGGAAAAGTCAAAGATGGCTAATTAAAATGGGATGGAGGTAGTATTATTCATTAACTAAAAAAATGTTCATATTAAACAATTTTTGCTCCAGAAATTAAATTTTCCTACAAAAGAAAATTCATTAGTTTGAATTCACCCTGAAAAGAAGAGCAAGGAAGTAGGGATGGACTGAGACGGGTCAGCCCAACCCCAGACCCAGTTCGGTGACCCGGGATCGGGACTGAGGCCCGAACCAAGGGATTCAACAAGCAGGCTACGGGGCTAAAAAATGATGGACCGGCCCAGCAGGTCCGGGCACAATTACTTCTTTTTTAATCTTTTCCCATTGGAATTACTTTGAAAAGACCAAAAAAGAAATATTGGGACTGAGGCCCAAAAAAGAAATATTGGGCCTGGTACAAAACGTGGGTAAGTATTGGACCTGAATATGGAGTATTTTAGACCCGGATAGTCATGGACTCGGGTCAGACCACCCGGCCCGGAACCGGTATTGTTTGGGCCCGACCCCGAACCGGTACTGTTTGGGCCCAGCCCGGTACTGTTTGGGCCCTGCCCGGTACCCGGTCATAGGACCGGTCCGGGCCACCCGGGACCGGGAGTTAAACGGGGCAGGCTCGGGCCTCCTAAAAGCCAGAACCGACCCGAAACCGGCCCGGCCTATTTCTTTTTTTTTTTTTCAACTTTTTTGGTTTCTCCTGGGTTGGTCTGGGTGTTTGGGGGGTGGGGGTGAGGGGGTGTTAATTAGAAAAGCAAAAGAAAAAAAAATAACATGAACCGGCCTGGCCCGGAACCGGCTAGTGCTGGACTCGGGCCGGGCAGCCCGAACCGGAACCGGCCTGGCCCGGTTACTGTGTGAACCGGCCCGGCCCGGTGGCCCGGTCCACCGACGGTTCGGGTCGAACCGGCCCGGTGGATACCGGTTCCGGGCCCGGGCCCTCTATTTGGTGAACCGGCCCGGCCGGTTCGGGTCCGGTCCGGGCTGGAATAATTTTTTTTTAAATTTTTTTTTGAAATTTTTTTAATTTTTGGGTTGGATTAGGTATTTTGGGCCATTTGAGGTGGTTTGGGGTGGTTTGGGGTTGAGGGGGAGGGGTAGGGGGTTAAATAAGAGAAGCCAAAAAATCAAAAAAAAAAAAAAAAAAAAAAAATGGGGCGGGTGAACCGGCCCGGAACCGGTCACCTGCCGGTTCAGGCCCGGGCCCTCCTTTTGGTGAACCAAGGCCCGGCCGGTTCAAGGCCCGAACCGGGCCCGGCCCGAACCGAGTCCAGCACTAGAACCGGCCCAGCCCGACCCGGGACCGCTGCCTACCCGTGCTGGTTCCAATTCTTCCTTCCCAAAAAAAAGCGCTGCCGGGCCCAGGCCCGAACCGGAACCAGCTCAACCCAGGTCCCTGACTAGACCCGGAGCCCGGCCCGACCCAGTCCACCCTTATGGGGAAGGGGAAGTGAGATAAAGGTCGAAGTATTAAACTTGTGGACATTATTACTAGGTCAAAATATTTATGAACACTTCCATTATTATTATTATTATTATTATTATTATTATTATGGAAATGGCATTTTATTAGGATAAGGAGAGTTGAAAATTACAAGGAACAAGTAGGGAGCCTAGCAACAAGTTGAGCTCCAAAAGTAGAGATTATTCCTATGAATTTTGCTCTAAAAGGGGAAAGGGCAGAGACCAAAATATATCTTCTTAGTGACAATCAGATCAAGATATAATTTCTAACTATTTATTTCATAATAATTGTATACACAGATTGAAGGACGAAACTATTGCGACTAAAAAACTAATTATATGTTCCTCCTAAAAACTGCTGGAGTTCTTAGAAGTTAGAACCACATTATAACCAGAATTCTGTACAAATCCAGTGCATCTTCCATGAAAAACAACTCATTGAGACGTGGAGTTTACATATAAACCAAAGCTGCTTGTTAAACTTCGCCACACTTCATGCAATAAAGTGTAGGCGACATGACTGTCAAACTGTGGAACTTCATTTATTATATGTGGACTTGAATTTTGCTGCTCGAATTGCTTACTCGGATTCCAGCTTCTAATTCTGATCAGCAGAAGAGCAGAACTGTAAATATTTAACTCTGGTAGAAGCAAGAATTGGACAAGGTACATAACTTTTGTAATGATGAAACAGTTCTGGGAATTCCCATACTGTAATGGCTCTCATTGCATGTAAGGTAGCTTGATTCGGCTTAAAAGTTAAAACTCTTATCAACAATACTTTTACCAAAAACCAACTTAACTGAATGGGCTAGGTTAATTTACAGATGAGGCAGAAATGCCTGAAATGAGGGAAACAACACTTTTATCTTCATTTTTATAATTTATTCTAGTTGCTATAAAAGAAAATCACAGACTATTTGGTTCATACAGCCAAATTTTACCTTAAACAAACGGGCTACAGCGTGAATGGTATATGAAACACAAGTGAATATGAAATAACTTCGGATAATGATACTTGTTATGACATCCCACCCCAGTTTATTGGTAAAATGGAAAAAATCTACTCTACTTCTGACATTAAGAACAGAATGTTTTGCTATCACGATATAATGCTATTATGCTAAGCCTATTTAGAAAACCATTATCCACAAGAGAAGAAAATAGTTAGGCTGAAACCCAAACACAATGTACTTACAAAGGCCAAGTCCAAACTATGATGCTGCACCTGACACAGCTTTGGTTGCAGGAGGGATATGTTTCACAGTTGAACCATTTGCAGAGCCATCCTGCTCTTGGTTAAAGCCAAACTCAAGCTGTTTCTCAACGGACTTAAAAACAGAAGTACGCTTAGATCTTATGATTCGGTAAGGAGGAGACCCATTAAAAGGATTTGAATTGATTCTTAGCTGACTATCATCTTCTGCACCACCAGCACAACCACCATCATCGGCCTTCCCAACTTTATGGGAAGGTGTGGATGACTGAGAAGATCCAGCTTTCCTCTTCCTTAAAATAGAAGGCGTATTCCTGAAGCTTTGAGCAGCAATTTTCAATATGGACTCAGGGGTCTGTACACACACACCACTGTGCTTTTCAATGGTGGGAGGGGTAGGAAAAGTGGGAATGAGAAAATCTGAATCCAGTGGAACCACACTTGCTAACTGTGGGGGTTTATAGTATAAGCTACCATACTTAACGTGTGTAATTAGCTTTGGGGTGGAATTTAAGGATTTAATATTACATGGCCGGACAACGTCTTCAGAATCAGCTGAATCAATTTGAGGACTGCTGGTCAAAGCGCCACCCATGTCCTCTACTATTATGCCTTCAGGAGGATGAATGTTTTCCATATCTACTGCTGCTTTACAAACATCTGTTGTTGTTCCTGATGAAGCTGCTAAATCTGTTGAATCGGTCAGAGTGGTTTTGATAGTGATGTCTTCTTTACAAGTATTTTGGGGGACGTTCTTGGCAGAAGGTGGTAGATTTCCTGTGGCTAAGTAGAAATTTAACTTTTTCTTCAAAGAGCTATTCCAGTGGTTCTTGATAGCATTGTCAGTCCTGTATGGAAACAAATCTTTAGTGCAGACTCCCTAAGACATTATAGTAAGAATGATAACTAAAGACTGATACATCCCCTCCAATCCAGAACTATTATACATTTTATCAAAGAATGAAAATTTATTGTTTTTGTAGGAAAAAATCGAATTAAAATGTAAAGATTGCATGTGGTAAGAAAAACCCAAAGACGCCAAAGTTTTACTAGAATCTGAAGAGCCTCAATTTTTTGTGAAACTTAATGCATTGAAAATTAAGTTCATGTGCAGTAGCACATTGGAAAGTAAGTATTTAGCTGCAATAAAAGGTGAGCTGATCTTAAGTAGCTAGTGATTTTCTGAAGAAATGACATTTTGTATGGTTATTATTGTTTGACTGAAAGATCTGAGTTTTATATCTGACTTGAAAGCATGCAAATCATAAAAAAATCTATTGTGATAGACATGAAGTCTTTATTCTAGTCATATTTGCAAACAACCACTTTCCACTTAGAAATAAATTTTACTCCAACTGTTTGCAAAAGATTACCTTCCAGGTAGAACCTTTGCTATTTCAGCCCATTTATTGCCATGGACTCTATGAGCATTTATAAGTGCTAGCTCCTCCTCAAATGACCATGCCTCTTTTTTTATATTAGGATTCAAATGGTTGTGCCACCTGAGAAAAAGTTCATAAGCATAATTACCAACTTACTAAGCCAAGGTGTGTGTGTGTGAGTGTATAAATCTACATAGCAGTACTCCACCAATTTGACTATGGATGTTAAGTTGTTTCTGAAAGCAAGATGTTGGTATTTGATGTCCGTCTCTAAAAAACGGTGTGTGTGTGTATTTATGAGCACATATACAATGCCTCAAAATCGGCAAGCCTATTTGCTAAGCATATTCAAGATAACATTCTAATGAATAAATATGCATTTCATATATAAAAATAAATTACCTTTCACGGCATTGTTTTCCTATTCGACCAGGTAATGACTTGGCAATGACAGACCATTTTGCAGGGCCGTACTGCCTTACAAGTTCAATGATCTTATCATCTTCCTGTAATGGAAAGATGACTTTTATTCACAGATCTGATAAATCATTAAAGAAAACTTCCAAACTTATATATATATGGGAATATATAAATATAAATGCAGGAATGGAAAATAAAAATTGGAATAGACCTCCTGAGTCCAGGGTCCTTTTACAAGATCAGGATTTAGGACTTTCTGCCATCGATGAAGGCATTGTACTTCTGATCTATCAGGAAAAAAATCAGCTGCAAGAAAATTGAACTGATAAATTACATTTTTATTTCACCAAAGACAAATATTTCCTGCACGTGTATTTTTTGAAGTTGTGGCAGTTTAAATGTTCACTAAACTAGTAGAGAATAAGCTGATACCAATTTTCTTCCAGCACTTCCCTCTGTATGCTGCGACAGCCTGCTTAAGAGTATCATCCTGTAGAGATAACAATATATCACACTATAAGATACAATAAACATCCCTAGAGTGTGCCCAATAAGTTTAGAATGACTCCCAACACTAATAAAAGCATTGGAAATACCGGCAGGCAAAAAAAAACTGGATTTGGAGTATTATTTTAGAGCACCAGCATGCAAAATGCATGATAATTGAAGGCTTAAAAAGCAATGAAGGATCCAAAAGTATTATCTACTTATGGGTTTGAAGAACAGAGAGAGAGAAACTGCTAGACATTTATTTTGAAATTATAAGTATTACAATTATAATTATAATATGATATAATTATCAAGACATTCTTACATAGCAAAAGTGACATGCGCATACCGCCCCGAGTCCTAGTGTAGGTTAACAGGGCTCATGAGAAATTTCATCAATGTCCTATCTTAAACGACTATTTTTCAAAAGTTATTCACTCTCTTGGGCCAAATTTTGGTAGCATGAATCAGCTTATGATTAATAATCAGAATAATCAAAATGAATAGCTTTTGACTTATTTGGTTAATCAATTTTACCAAATGCTTTTACATTCATAACATTCAGCAGATTTAGCCATCTCGGCAAATACACTTGCCAAATGGGCCCTGATTCCTAGGATAGCCATGTAGGTGTAGTCTGAAAGTTAGTCAAACTTTGAAAGCATCATATGTTCGTCAAAAGACAAAAAACTAACCTCCTCTGGAGTCCATCCACCCTTTGCTCGTCGAATAGGACCGCTTGTTCTTCTGCAAAAGTGGATCTCATGTTTTGATATGTATATCATCATTAACTTTAGTGCAAAGTAACTCATAGAATTCTGACTTCGTGAAATAAAAGTATATATAGATTTCCCATGCATGTGCTACTGTATGTTATAAGATGATAGTATCATAGTAGAACTGTTCGGATCATGAGTCCATCACATCTCATCTATAATTAACATACAAGTAGAACAAGCTTCTATCTTTTTTGAAAGAAACAAAAGGAAAAACGTTTCTATTCTGTTAGCTTCAGTATTCATAATCCAGTCTTATCGGTGAATTATTCCTCTCTTTGAGGTTCTCTCGAAAAAAATTTTCAAACGTAGAGCCTAATGCAGGAATCATCTTGGTGTTGAATAAAAACTCAAGAGAATGAAGGTGTGTAAACAAATATTGCAATCCTATGAAGTCAAGGGCATTTAAATAAACTTCAGATAGCAAAAAATGAAAGTCAGATAACTATACCGATGCCCAGGTGAAGAAGGGGTGGCGCTAGATATCCCTGGTGACTTGATATTAACACTGCCACTATTCTCAGAAACAGAAGAGCTTGAAGGAGCTATAGCTTGCTTATTCTCAGGGCAAAAATCCTCTACTCTCTCTTCCTCCATATTTTGTTCACCTTCTCTTCCAAATCGCAATATTACAATCAATAAAGTCTACAAAATTCAGCAACCTCCTAACCAATTCCACTTTAACAATGAGCGCCCAAAAGCACCAAAGCTTTAGAACCCTAATAACAAGCAAGGTAAACCAAATCAGTTACTCCACCGACAGATTAAGCAAACCTTAGATCTCAAAAACTCAAATCAGATCAATACTTTATTCAACCGAACAAAAACCATCGACAGGCCAATCACTGAATCTCGAACCTCAAACTATTAACAATATAACGCCATAGACCATTCAAACTAATCGAATCCAGACACTCGAACAAAATAAAAGCACCATTAACTGGAGAAAACAAGCTCACAATATCTCATGTAAATTATGATGAATTTCAAGAACAATTTAAAGAATTCGATAATATAGGCTTTGACCTCAGGAAGCAAAATATTGGCGGGAATCGAGCTCGAACTCGCCGAACTGAACCCGGAGAAACCTCTGAGCTCTCTAGAGAGATAAAAACCGCCGGAAAGATTGAGCTTTCATTGCGAAGAAAAACCTTGCCCGTTGAACGAAAGAAAGAGGTTGAGAGAGAGGGTAAATCCTTTTATACGGGGTATTTCTTTTTTTTATTTCCTTTTATTAAATAAACACTCGGTAAAAGTTTTTGTATGTAACGAATATATATCGAGGTCACCGACGGTGCCGTTAGGTTTGGCGTTAAGTTTAGGACAAGTGGATCGCTGGTTCTGTAACGGCAGATGACGGTTTCACGGCATCACGTGTACGTTAGGAAACAAAAGTTTGAACCTAAACGGCAATTAGAAATGCTTATAAGCCTTGTGCGGTCATAGGGGCAAAGTTGGAAATTGCGTATTAGGGATTGAAACTGATGGCCAAGATCCCTTGAATATTAACTCTTCCATTAATCTATCTATACATTAATGTTGGGGAGTATTGCTAAGATGACAATTAGTTAACATCTCGACATTAGTTATAGCAGTATTCATTTACTTCCTATATATTAATGTTGAGGAGTGTTGCTAAGACGACAATTAGTTAACATCTTGACATTAGTTATAGTAGGATTTATCATCTTTAATATTATATTCTTCCTTGAATATTAATTAATTCCTATTCATATTTCATATTAATATTTTGAACATTACTTAAAGGATCAACTAGTTTTGTTTCATATATTAATTATTACTAGAATCGATCGACGAATACGCTTGTTAATCGTTGATGGTTTCATAAGTAAGCAACTTCGGTATATTAATGCACGGTCGTGGTTAATAAACTTAAGAGGGGTAAATTTTGTTGGTTAAACCGAAACCGTTGGTTGAGGTTATCAATCTCAATTGATTTCATCAAGGAGTTAAGAGATTAAATGCTACTATCAAGTCAGTATATGACGGTGTTCTATACTTGACTAATAGTAAGGGTTATTAATGAACGGTCGTTGTTAATAACTACCCTCGATGAATTGGATATACTCCTCGATTGAGTATTCGAGAGGGGATAAGTTATAGATATAACAATGATCGAATAAAATATATCAACAAGTGGAAAGTAGCAATGTCAAGTTCTTTTTATCTTTGAATTAAATCACATATAAGTCGTTCATCTTGGTGTTTAAATTAATTAAATTCCAACAATCCCAAAACCCGCTTTCTATTTACTAAGTTTTATAAAAAGAGAATTATTCTTTTCCCTGTGGATACGAACTCTACTTCACCTATACAACATATAAGTGCTAGTATCGAATATTATTTTGACGCACCGTGACAAAGTGCACATCAAATTTGGCGCCGTTGCTGGGGAAAGGCAATTAATTTTTCTTTTTATTTTATTTTAAGGGAAAAAAAATATCATTCAAATAAAGATTTGTATCTCTTCTGAGCTCTATATTCTTGTATTTTTATTCAAAAAAAATAAATAAATAAAAAATAAAAAAATAAATAAATAAAGCTTGTTAAGTTGAAACCCTGAAAAGGCAACTTAAGCAAAAATAAAGCAAAAATTAGAGTGAGTTGTGAAGATTAAAACAGAAAAATGTGGGAAGCTGGGATGAAAACCCGAAAGGGCACCTAGGCAAAATGAGAGAATGAGAGAAAGTATTTTCTTTTATTTCTGCAGGATCCTAAGGGTAACAAAAAAAAAATTGAGGTTGATAAGAAATATGGAGTTGAAGACCCCTCTTTACTGTTATATTTTTGGGGATATTTTTTGTGATGTTCTAAAAACACACGTGGATGTTGATGTTGATACTCTTGTCATTTTAAGGACTTCTTAGGCTGGATTTAGTTTACTCGAGACCAGTAAAGGTTCAAGTGTGAGGGTGTTTGATATGCACTAATTAGTGGTGCATAAATGTATCTTTTATGTTTGATTTGTGTGGATTGTTTACCATTTTATTTAGTTTGTAAACATTTGTGTGATTTTAGTTGTAATTGTATTTTAGTTCTCATTTGTAAGTTGTAAAATAGAGTTAGGATTTATGGTGTTGGAAAGAAAGACTTTGAAGTGAAGAAAAATGATTATTGGCTGCCCAGGACAATCACCCGGTCGGGTGAGGTTTTGCACTCGGTCGGGTGAGACTTTGAAAAGCGAAGGTGGCTGGAAACTACAATCACCTGGTCGGGTGAGGTATTTCACCCGGTCGGGTCAGATGTGACCTGAGACAAAACGACGTGGAAGATTATTTGATTTGGACATTCACCCGGTCGGGTGGACACTTGGCCCGGTCGGGTACCCGTCCAAAGGTGTTGAAAAACACCTATAAATAACACACTTTTCCTTCACAAAAATCATCCCTTCTTCCATACTCTTAAGCTCAGTTTAGAATAGAATTTCTTTATATTTTTCTAGCATGTTTAGTCTCCAAGTGAGGAGCTAAACTTCCATTTCTTGGTGTTGCTCTTGAAGCCTGTTGATTATTAAAGCTGTGAGTTATTTTCTTAACTTCTTCCCTTGAATATTAATTCTTCCCTTAATCTATCTATATATTAATGTTGGGGAGTGTTGCTAAGATGACAATTAGTTAATATCTCGACATTAGTTATAGCAGTATTCATTTACTTCCTATATATTAATGTTGAGGAGTGTTGCTAAGACGACAATTAGTTAACATCTTGACATTAGTTATAGTAGGATTTATCATCTTTAATATTATATTCTTCCTTGAATATTAATTAATTCCTATTCATATTTCATATTAATATTTTGAACATTACTTAAAGGATCAACTAGTTTTGTTTCATATATTAATTATTACTAGAATCGATCGACGAATACGCTTGTTAATCGTTGATGGTTTCATAAGTAAGCAACTTCGGTATATTAATGCACGGTCGTGGTTAATAAACTTAAGAGGGGTAAATTTTGTTGGTTAAACCGAAACCGTTGGTTGAGGTTATCAATCTCAATTGATTTCATCAAGGAGTTAAGAGATTAAATGTTACTATCAAGTCAGTATATGGCGGTGTTCTATACTTGACTAATAGTAAGGGTTATTAATGAACGGTTGTTGTTAATAACTACCCTCGATGATTTGGATATACTACTCGATTGAGTATTCGAGAGGGGATAAGTTATAGATATAACAATGATCGACTAAAATATATCAACAAGTGGAAAATAGCAATGCCAAGTCCTTTTTATCTTTGAATTAAATCACATATAAGTCGTTCATCTTGGTGTTTAAATTAATTACATTCCAACAATCCCAAAACCCCCCTTTTATTTATTAAGTTTTATAAAAAGAGAATTATTCATTTCCCTGTGGATACAAACTCTACTTCACCTATACAACATATAAGTGCTAGTATGAATTTTTTTACGCACCGTGACAAAGTGCACATGAATAGTATTGAATACCAACACTTATATGTAGTATAGTGAATTAATTCAATAGTGATCGAGACTTGATTTTGCTTATTTCCATTTAGTGAAATGTTCTTCTATGTCAGTTATAATTTTAACTGTCTCCCTCTCGAATACTCAGTCCTGGAGTATTTACAGTTTGTCAAGGGCTATTATTAATAACGAGACGGGTTTATTAATAAACTTACTAACTAGTCAATATAGAACATGGCACCTTATATGGACTCGATAGTAGCATTAAATCTTTAGATGAAATCAACTGAGATTGACAAACTCAACATATGCATTTTATAAGTTTAATCAATATAATTAACCCCCCTTAGATTATTAATCATGGGATGCATGCATTAGTAATATAAGATTACCACCGTTGAAACGACCGAGCGAATAACAAACATATTCGTCGATCGATTCTAATAATAACTAATATATGACAACAAAATTAGTTGATCCTCTAAGTAATGCTCACATATTAATATGAGATATAAATAGGAATGTAATTATTATTCAAGAGAAGATGATTAAAGAAAATAGCTTACAACTTACAAAACACGAGCTTCATTGTTGCAAAACCAAGATGTAATGGTTTATACCCTCATTTTGAGACTAAACATGCTAGAAAAATATAATGAAAACACTTATCTAAACTGAGGTTAAGAGTATATGTGAATTGATGATTAAATGGGAAGGAAAAAAGGTTTATTTATAGCCTTTTGGAGACGATAGTGTCTGATATCCGACCGTGTATGTCGGTCTAACCGATCGGTAGAAGACAAATCTTGCTAAAAATCATCCATGCACATATAATTGTTCTCCGAATCAGATTTGGTACTTGGGTAAGGTACATACCCGATCGCGTATATGAACAATTTCTCAAATCTTCACTTTATCTTGCTTCCTTGCACTTTCCTTGACCTTCCAAGGATCCTTTTGACGATCTTTATCAGGTTTAAACTTAGAATAGTCCTAATCTAAACAAATTACAAACATCTAAGAAAATAAAATATTATACCAAAAGTGTGTACTTTCCACAACAACAAACAATGAAAACTAGTTAAAAATTCATACATACATAATAAGAAATCCACTCTATCAAACTCTCCGCTACTTAGTTTCTTACTCGTCCTCGAGCAAACATCAACAAAGTAGTTCACAATCCACAAAATGAGAAATAAGTTCAATACAACAAAGTTCAGTTTTTTTTTACATAACATCCCCAAAATACAGAGAAGGGGTCTTCATGATCTTCACTACATTGATTTGATTTCCAAGTGCTCACAAGTAACATGAGTTCTTGCATAAACAAAAATAACATCTCCTCTCATTCTTGATCTCATTCTGTCTAGGAGCTCTTTCAGGTTTTCATCTTTCCTTTTTCTTTTTCTTTTCTCTCCGCTCACTCATTTTAGTGACTCCCCCCACTTAGCCCGGAGCACTGTACCTAGTGCTCGCCACCATTATCACCTTGGTATCCCAATAGCCGCTACCATCACCGCCATAGTTTCCTCCTCCACTGTTCGGTCCACCAAAATAACCCCAAGAAGAGGGTTTGTACCATGAAGGGTTGTTAGGTGTGTATTTCAGCTCAGGTCTCCAACCAGAACAACTCACACACACCACCCCAGGATTGTTTAGCCACTCCACCACTCACCAAGTTTAGCCACACTCTTTTTCACCTCTCAAGCTCACACAAAGGAGGACAAGGGAAGAAGAAGGACTATACTCTAACTCTCTGGTTACTCACACAAAGGAGGAGATACACTCTCAATAGCTACTACCCACTAGTTTCACGCCTCACTCACACAAAGGAGGAAGTCAACTCTCTCATACTCACTGGCCACAATTATATGGAGCTCAAAAAAGATGCTTTCCTAATCAAGTGAGTCACATGTCTAAGAAAGACAAAACAAGGGGAGCCCAAACAAAGGCAGAAGATAGAATAGCAACGGGCAGAACAATAACAAGGCCATGTGATTAGGTAGTGAACAAACCAAGAGGAAATAATAGGAGTACGGCTAAACTTAGGGTGCAGGCCTTAACACGAATAACTGGAAGGGAGGCCTTGGCAGGACCAATACCTCCAACATTCTCCACCTTATTGGTCCTAGGTGGTGTAGAGTAACAAATACACGGTTGTGAGGAGACTCATCATCGCTGAACCATTACAAGTACATCATTGCGATCATACAAGTAATAGATGAGAACCAAAGTTCCCTTTCGGACCAAGCTTACCGTGCAAACCCACTTCACGATGGACTAAACTCTACCAATCGGTCCTCGAGTTCAGAACAAAAACCATCACAAAACTATTAACAAGCACAACACATGTTAATAGACCACGCAAGCAAGCATCCGGGAGAAGTTGGGGATTCCAACTAATCCAACAACCACACAAAGCAAGTACACAAAAAATAAAAGAAACAATATTATTTCTATAACTAGCACAGATAGAGCTCACATAATCACTTGGTATCACATTTTCAAAACACAAAGAAAATAGCATACCAGATATCACAAAGATTTTAATTAAAAGAGAATTAAGCACATTTAAAGCAAACTCAGAGGAAATATAGTCAAACACATTGCACATATAATTTCTCACATGCTTCCTAATGTCTCTATCTCTAATAACATGGCAATCACGCAACTCAAGCATATTGCACACAACATTCATATCATGCTCCACCTTAACAGAAATATTATTTACTTTATTTTCACCATGAAAATCATTTTCATCCACGAATTTGGGTGCGGTTTCAACAAGTAAATCAGAATGAACATCAGGCAAATGCTCCACCTCATTTGGAGCAACATCAGGAGAAACAAGCAGGCAAGGAAATTCATTTTCAACAAAAATGACATTTCTACTCATCAACACATTGAAGCAAGTTTCACTCCTACGCCAAAGCCTATAACCTTTCATGCAATCATGATATCCTAAGAAAACATATTCCTTAGTCCTAGGTTCAGATTTATCATTCACACGATTCACGTAAGCAGCACAACCAAACACTCTCAAATTTGGCAAGTTAAGTGGTTTGCCCATGAACACAGATTCAGGGCATTTCCCTCCTAAGGGAACAGACGGGGACAGATTAATCAAATCAACAGCATAACAAATAGCTTCCCCCCAGAACTTATTAGAGAGCCCAGATGAAGCTAACAAAGCCCTCACCCTCTCTAATAAAGTTCTAACCATCCTCTCAGCAACCCCATCCGGTTGGGGTGTGGAGGGAACAGATTTATGCATAGAAATACCCCAAGTATCACATAAATCACCAAGCTGACTATCACAGAAATCAAAACTGACAGTGATCCTTAAAAAATTAATTTTCTTACCAGTTTGTTTTTCAACAAGGGTTTTCCAGTTTTTAAACTTATCAAAAACTTCAGATTTATTTTCAATTAATAAAACCCACACTTTCTTTGAAAAATCATCAATCAACGTCAGAAAATAATTTTTCCCACCATAAGTGGAAACACCATAAGGACCCCACAAGTCAGCATGAATACAATCAAGCACATTAGTACACTTAGGCAGATCAGGAAAACCAACTCTAGACTGTTTTCCTAGCACACAGGGTTGCACACAATTCACAGAATCAAGTATGGGTTCAGCATGACAAACATACAAGTTGTTTTTCATCTCAGCTTTGAAAACAACTAAGCAACCCTTCACAACTTTCATGATTCCCTTTCCCCATTTTCCCTTCAAACCCTCATTTTCAAGAGAAGCACAAGACAGCAAATTACAGCATAGCTCAGGAACATGCCTAACATTCTTCAAAGTAAGCACATAACCAGAAGAAAACCTAAGGCATACATCTCCTATTCCTAGCACATTGCATTTCTTCTTATTTGCTAAAGACACAAAGCCATGCTCAATCTCTCTATAGTTTGAAAAAACATTTTTCAAAGGGGACATATGAAAAGTACAACCAGAATCTACCACCCAATCTGATTTATCCAAAGAATCAGATATCACAGAACTCAAGTAGTCATAATCACATAGATTTGTCATAAAAACATCACCTAAATCATCTTCACACGTAGTCAAATTAGCATGCTCACTATGCTCATTTTTCCTAGATTTAGGACAGTCTCTTATGAAATGACCAGGTTCGTGACAATAATAGCAACGCCTCGAATTAGACCTAGACTTAGATCTATGTCGTCTACTATTATTTTCTCTACCCCTCACATGCATAACTTCCTCGGATTTTCTACCCTCACCCATCTGTTTTAAATCTAATTCCTTACTCTTAAGACCATTTACTACAATGTCAAGAGTCACATTATCTCTACCATACTTAATAGCAGATTTCACATCACTAAAGGAATCAGGAATAGCATTTAAAAGAGCAATGGGAGAATAATCATCTATATGCTTATCACCACACAACTTAATATCCGAAATAAGTTTGGTAAAAACATCTAGATTTTCTTCAATATCTATAGACATATCTAGTCTAAATTTGAAGAATTTCTCAAGTAAAAATATCCGGTTAGGCAAAGAGGTTTCAGTATACAGTTCATCTAATTTATTCCAAAGAACTTTAGCACTTTCTAAAATTCCAACTTTTCTAATCACAGAGTCAGATAAGTTCAAATAAATCACAGAACATGCATTTTCATTCATTTCAGCCCTTTTCTCTTCTGTGTCAGAAATTAAATAGGTTTCGCCAACTGCTTTAAAACATTTTTGTTGTATTAAAATACATTTAATTTTTTTGCTTCCAAATGCTAAAATCAGATTTTCCATTAAATGGAGCCATACCATACTGATTATAAGCAGACATTTTCACAGAGAAAAATAAGCAACAAAAGAAAATGTAAATTTCGCTGAAAAACAATTTAAATATTTATAAGGCTACAACTATACGGAGCAACTAGCACGAACACGCGGGGAGTATTAATGAGCACCAAACTCAACTTCAAACCCCTTGTTCTTCCGTATAAGCACGAATAAATAATAAATTTTCAGCGCAAACACAATACAACAATTTAATTAATTTTAACAGCAGTACTAAACCTAAAACATCATTTCTACACAATAAAAGATTAAAAAATCACTACAAAAGCGATAAAAGGGATAAAAGTTAATATACCGGAGCGAAACCCTAGGAGAGGCGTTTCGACCTTACCCACCCAATTAAAATTGGGATTTTTGGACTGTTGGCTGACTTTGACTGCCTTTTGACCAGCTTTGACCGAGTTTTTCCTCTGCTCTAGGTCTAGCCCTTAAGCTTCAAGGTCCTGCCTCCGTTGACCAGTCCAAGGATTGAGCAGCCTATTTTGAGTTGATTGCCAGCGTTCCAGCAAAACAAACAGCCTCAGAGACCAGTCCGGCCCAACAGAGCTGCGGCCCAAAAGATCCAGCAAGGTCCCTGCGTTCAAAGCACTCCACTAGTCCACTGCAGTCAAAATCGCATCTGTGAGCAGCGAACCATCCATGCCTCTGCAACAGTGCGGCCTTTCTCTTCCCCGGTCGATGAATGGCTCCTGACCGCGAACCAAACGACGACGGTGGGCGGCGATTCCAGCGAAACTCAGCCTCCAGCCACCTGCGTTAACCCCTGCGGCCAGACCTCTGTTTCAAGCTTCCAGCAACCCAGCGACGGACGAGCTCAATGACCGAGCGTCGAGCGGAAAAACTACGGAGGGCACCAGCGACTTCGAGGGTGAACGGTGACTCCCTAGCGATTAGTGGACAGAGAAATGGACAGCCGGCGAAGTTCACGACCTCCAGTCGATGGCGAAGCTTTCAGGTGACGGCGAGCTTCCCTGCGGCGGCGTAGATCCAGCGCAACAATCCTCCAGACTTCCAGCGATTTGAGAAGCACCTAGCTTCCAGGCGATCTCCCAGAGACCTCCACAGATGGCGAATCGACGACAGCGACTTCGAATGACGGCGGCGGGCGGCGGCGGACGGCGGCGGACGGCGGCGGACGGCAACCTCCGGCGAGTTGGGCCTGGATGAGGTGCGAGCAGAGCTCCAGAGACTCCCGGCGAGCACCCCCTGCGACGGCAAGCTTCCAGCAGCTACCAGGACAGGTGAAGCTTCAGCGGGTGTGCGTGTGAGAGTATAGCAAAAGGGTTGGAGATCTGAGCCGGAAAGAAATCGACACCCAACAAGGGTGTTGTGGGGCTGACATGGATGCAAAATACCCCTGCCGGGCAAAATATGCATACATAGGGTTTGTGGAATATAGCTTAGCATAGTCTAATTGTAATAGATGACGTGTAATGCTTCTAGTATATTCTTTAGAATACTGTTAGCAGTTTGTTACACATCTGTGTGTATAAAGACTGATCAGGATTGTTTACTCTGACAATTTTCTCCGTTGTAACCAACCGAACTCCATTAATGGAAACTTTGATTCTTCTTCATCTCTTTCTTTAGTTTTTGATTTCAAGATGGTATCAGAGCTCTAGACGTGATCAAATATAATCATTCCACGCATATTGTTCGTAGAAATGCCAGGCGGAGAAAACTCAAACATAACAGGTTCCTATAAGGATCCTTTTTATCTAGCTCCGAGCGATCATTCTAATTCAGTGATCACAAATGAAATTTTCAATGGAAACAACTACCTTAATTGGTCCAGAGGCATCAAGATGTCCTTAATCGCGAAAAACAAGCTTGTGTTCATCAACGGAAAACTCAAAAGACCAGAAGAAGATGCGGACAATTTCCAGGATTGGCTAAGAGTTGATTATACGATCATGAGCTGGCTTCTTCATTCAATGTCACCAGAAATTGCCAGAACTATGATGTATGTAAGTTCCTCGAAACAATTATGGGAAGAAGTACAAGAACGATACAGCCAAACAAATGCTCCTTACCTATATCAACTGAAAAAGGACTTGATTCAGATAAGTCAGGAAGGAGGAACTGTTGCTGAATTGTTCGGAAGATTGAAATCTGTTTGGGAGGATATACAAGCTCTAGATGGACTACCAATGTGTGAATGTGGAGCACTGAAATCATGTACTTGCAATCTACTGAAGCGAATTATTGAGAAAGACAATAGGAATAAACTAATGGAATTTCTGATGGGGCTTGATAATCATTACGAACATCTGAGAAACCAGATACTTGGTGTGGATCCACTACCTACTGTGAACCAGGCCTTCTTCAGAATCCAACAAGTTAAGATGCAAAAATCCATCTGTGGAAATCAGAATGATGTATCTGGTGGAATGGCAATGGCTGCAAATAAATTCAGTAGAAGTTCAAGCAATCAGAACAAAGCATTTGACAACAACTCCATGACAAAGGCTGATTACTTGAAGTCAAAAGTGGAGAAACAATCACTACTCTGCACTCATTGTGGCAAGACAGGACACTTGATGAAAGACTGTTTTGAATTAAAGGGTTATCCAGATTGGTACAAAGGTTCAAAAAGAAAGAAAAACAATTCTCTGGACTCACGAAACTCAAATGAGAAGAAATTTGCTGGCAACGCAAACTATGAAGCAAAGTTTAAGGAAATGGGAGGAAATACTCCTTTTGATGAAGAATTGGAATCAAATTTCAAGGTTCTTCAACAGATTGACATTGCAACTATTCAAGAGTTTCTGAAACAGAGGAACTCAACTAATCCAAGCACAAGTCAGGCTTCTACAAACTTCAGTATGGCAGGTATGATATATGCTTCACAAGTTAATGAAAGTAGAGGTTTCATTAAAGAAAAAATATGGATAATTGATTCAGGAGCATCTGATCATATGACTCATGACCTGGACATACTGAAGAATAAAACATACCTAAACAAGCCTATTAGTGTTGCTTTACCTGATGGGAATGTTAAAAAGGTTGAAATTATTGGTGAAGTGCAGTTATCAAAACAGATTACTCTAAAAGGAGTAATGTATGTTCCTGGATTTCAACACAACCTGTTATCTATAGGTAAACTGTTAAAGAACAGTGAATTGATAATCTGTTTTGATGATTATGGATGTTACATTCAGGGCCTTTCATCTGAGAATTGGACTACCATTGGAAGGAAGAGATCTGGACTCTACATCTTTGAAGTTAAGGATGAAGTGAATAAAGTAGATACTACTTCTTTTGATTTCAATAATAAACACAATGTAATGACTACAAAGTGTTTAAGAAATAAATCTTGTAATATTCCAGATCATGTCTTACTCATCCACAACAGATTAGGACATACATCTTTGTCAAAATTGAAACATCTTAGCATAGCTGGTGATGTTGAGAATATTAATGATCTGTCTTGTGAGGTTTGTATCTTGGCAAAGCATCATAGATTACCTTTTGAAAGAAGTGACTCCATTGCTTTTAAAATCTTTGATCTTGTTCATATTGATCTGTGGGGACCATATAGGATAAAATCTTTAACTGGAGCATCCTATTTTCTCACAATTCTTGATGATTGCAGTCGAAACACATGGACTTACTTGTTAAGAGACAAAACTGAAGTTCCAAATATCATTTCTGGATTCATTGCTTATATTGAAACTCAATTTGATTCAAGAATAAGAATGATTCGATCTGATAATGGAACTGAAATAGTCCAAACAGTATGTTCTAAGATCTTCAATGAAAAAGGGATTATTCATCAGAAGAGTATTCCCAACACTCCCCAACAAAATGGAAGAGTAGAGAGGAAACATCGCCATTTACTTGATACAGCCAGATCAATAAGAATTCATTCAAAATTGCCTAAGAGATTCTGGGGGGAGTGTGTTCTTACAACAACTCATCTTATCAATCTTATGCCTTCATCAGTTATTAATTGGAAGACACCTTATGAAGTTCTATTCAAACAAAAACCATCATATGAACATCTTAAGGTTTTTGGTTGCTTATGCTATGCTGCTGTGAAGACATCTGACAAATTGGAACCAAGGGCATGCAAAGGAGTTATGGTAGGGTATCCATTTGGTCAAAAGGGATATAAGGTATATGACCTTGAATCAAAGAAGGTTATACTGAGTAGGGATGTGGTTTTCCATGAATCAGTATTTCCCTTTGACAAGGATGAACTGTCAGAAACATCAAAAGATTATCCCTTTGTTGTGCCTTCAGGGATATACAATGACTTGAATATCAATGACAATTCATCCACCCACAATGATACAATCTCACATGTCAATGAGACAACTGAAGATACTACAGAAGTACAGCAAACACCTGTAATACCAGTACCTCAAAGAAGATCAAATAGAACCAGAATCATTCCTCAGAAGTTGCAAGATTATATCTGCAAAGATCTTCCATCTTCTATACTAATAACAGATTCTGCAAATAATTCTGCAACCAAACATTTTGCAAATCTGATATGTGCATCCTTAAAGGACTATGGAAATGATTACATAGCTTCATTAGCAAATGTACTATCAATACATGAACCTGCTTCATACAACCAAGCAAAAGAGGATGAAAGATGGATCTTGGCAATGCAGCAAGAGCTAGAAGCTCTTGAAAAAAATCACACCTGGGAGCTTACTCATTTGCCAGTTGGTAAGAAAGCAATTGGAGCTAAATGGGTTTATAAAATAAAGTTCAGATCTGATGGTTCTATAGAACGTTTCAAGGCAAGATTAGTGGCAAAAGGATACAATCAAATCAAAGGAAAAGATTTCAAACATACTTTCAGTCCAGTTGCAAAATTTACAACTGTAAGAGTTCTAATTGCCTTTGCAGCTTCTCAAGGTTGGAACTTATACCAATTAGACATCAACAATGCTTTCTTACATGGATTTATTGATGAAGAAGTGTACATGGAGATTCCAGAAGGTTATAAGCATGCCAAACCAGGACAAGTTTGCAAGCTTAAAAGATCTTTATATGGATTGAAACAAGCATCAAGACAATGGAATCTTGAACTTACTAAGTTCTTAATCAAATTT